AAGTTGTACTAAAACATAGTCAGATGATTTTTTGTTTGAGGCGTCTTATTGGTTGTTATGTTTTTCGTTTAGTTTTTACAATATAATTGCTCAAAGTTAAATTGGACCCGCCTAACCTTATAAATTAACTAGTTGGTATTGATATTTAGCCTTGATGCAAGTTACATGAACTTCCCGATATGTGTAAATAATCGACTTAATCAATAAAAAATAAATTAATTTATGAATGATTAAAAGTATTCCAAGTGGATTTATAACACATAATTGAAAACGAACACTTTGACTCGGAGTATTTTCTAAAAGCAAAATTTAAAAAATCAACAATTTTTATAATTGAACCTTAATCGAGACTTAGCATATTCATTAAAACCAAGTACTCTATCGTTATACCAAGTAAATCATCTAATTTTAATTTTAACAAACGTCAACAAAACTACTCATCTACTCAAACTTTGATGAATTTTTAAAATTAAACTACTTGTCGTAAGGCCGTAATATATTTCAGTAAGTTCTATAAGACCATGATATACATCGCCAAAAAAAGTTTCATGAACACTAATTTTTGCAAACTTTGACGAATTTTTAAAGCTAAACGTTGTCGTAGGGCCGTAATATGTTAGTATGGTCTAGAAGACTATGATTTCTACCGTAAAAAAATCATAAAAATCGTCGAAATTTTTCTTTAAAAAACTTTATTACAAGAAAACGGCCCGGCCGATCTTTACCAAAAACTAATCAGCACAATTCCCAACCAATATCTTTCGAACGGTTTTTAAATTTTCAGAATAGCGGGCTAAAACGTGGACAAATTTTTTTTCACTTTTATGCTATTTATAAAGAAACGGCTTGGACGATCGTCGCACAAAACTCAGAAACTCTAGTCCTCATCGAGATACATCGAAATCGAATGGCTTTTAAACTTTTGAAATCGATCGAACCATTTTTGAAAAAATGCCGATTTACTGCAAAAAATCTGTTCACATACACGCACGCGCACACACACACCCACACACACAAACTTTTTCCAAATTTGAGCTCATTCATATTCAGAATGGCTTGAAACGTCGAGAAAACATAAAACTAGCGAGTCGGATTTTTTGATGAAAATATAAACTTCGATACATAAACTAACATGAAAACATAAACTTTGATGAAAACATAAACTAACTCCTTCGGGAAGTTAAAAATAATCTGCGTCTTTGACGTGAGTCAAAATTTGACCTTTTCTCGACGTTTACTCGTCTGAACCGATGTTAAAATTTTAAAACTATAAAATGAAACTGGATAAGCGCTTGCGTTGATTAGTTTTTTGAGACAATTGGTCGATCCGTTTCTGTACTATTGACAGAAAAGTGCAAAAATTATCGTCCATGTTTTTGTCAAAAATTTTTAACCGTTTTTGCTTAAACTATTCGATTGATATCATTTGGAAATAAAAAAAATGGTTTCAGGCAAAGATCGGTCAAGTCGTTTCTTTTTCATAATATATTGTCAATTTGTGGCGATTTAAGTGAAACTTTGCATGACGATAGAGTTTCTGCTCTAAATGAACGTACTAAACTATATTAAGGCCTGCGACAAGTGGTTTACTTATGATAATTAAAGTTTGGATTATTGGCCGCGCTTTTAAAAAATTCACCGTGTGTATGTATTTGGCTTCGTATTTCGTATGTGTTCGTTTTCCATCAATATGTAATATTCAAACCATTTTTCAAAAATAATAATTACTATATTTGAAAAACAAAACAATTTGCAACTGTTTCTCTCTTCAAAATGGTTTACAGCGATTAGGTATACTTTTCTAAATCAGTCATTATTAACTTCCCATAGGGTAGTTATAGTAATAGACCGAAAATCTAACGTTTTGAAGGATTCTGAATACTTTGGCATATCTCAGATAAAATGGATGTGTGTGTGTGTTTTGTATGTCCGCATTTTTTCGTCCACGTTTTCGGGCGCATGAATTAACAGATTTGAATGTTTCAAAAAACATTCGATTCTTATTGATAGGGAGATGTGCTGATTAGTTTTTGGCAAATACAGGTCCAGCAGTTATGGAGATACGGAGTAAAGAGTGCAGAAAATACAAATCGTGTTTTTGAGAGAACGGAGTATCCGATTTGAATGAATGAACGAATTTGAAATTTCGGATGAATGAATTTTTTTGCCTAAACTGTATTAAAAGATATATTCGCAATACGATTAGAAAATCCTTAAATTTTAGGGTTTTTGACTCCGCCATTCGTGTACAATCAGTTAAATATTCAAGTTATAAAATGTGTTTGGTAACAAAATACATCAATGAAATCATTTTGAAGTAATTTTGTTGTTGAATTAGTGTTTTATCTAAGTCCTAAAACAGGCTCAGGGGGGGGTCATGACCCCCGTGACCCCCCCCCCTGGATCCGCCTCTGCGTTTAATCAACTTACAGTTTTTTTCAACCGTTTCTCCTTTGTTAACGAATCAACCGTTTCGACGCAACGAAACAACTAGTTGAAAAATCAACTGGTTTGTCAATGAGTTAAAAACATGGCGCCCAGTTACTTTTCAACGAAATGCATATTCGAACGTTGTCGAATATTACAATTGAAAAGCAATAGAGTACTCTAGGGGTTCTTTCTTAAACTTATAATTATTAGGTTCGAATGTATGATATCAACAACCAACTCTTTATCTAGGAATATAACTCTTATATAGTGTTGTCATGTCTAAAGTTTTAACTGTAGATCTACAGTTTTTTGGTAATGATCTCAGTTTTGCAGTTTTGGCCTCGAAATCTACAGTAAAGAAATTGAAAATAAATTTGAAAATCATTCTAGTATATTTTTTTATGAACTTATCTTTTGTAGGTTGAGATTTATGTTAATAATTCATTTCATATATAAAATTATTTATAGTAATAAATATTTATTTATTTAACTATCAGCTAGCTTTATATTGATTCGAAATTACCTTCAATAATTAAAACATGACATGATAAATATTACTTATATTGAAATTAATAAAATTAATAAAATAAACAATCTATCGATAAACATTTTGGAATGGTGTTTAGGATAACTATAATAAAACTGTTTGTTTGAAATATCAATTGAATATATCCTAAACATATTTTTTTTCCAAAGAGAACCTTCAATGCTAAATTATGCAGATCGCCGGGATTACTTGGAAAATCCTATATCCGGCGCCATTGACAATTACTATAGTATTATAATCGCTTATTGTTAGGTAAAATAAAATAAAACTTTTCAGGATGACTATAATAAAACTGTTTGTTTGAAATATTAATTGAATATTTCCTAAACACATTTTTTAAAAGAAAACCTTCAATGCTAAATTATGCAGATCGCCGGGATTACTTGGTCGTCATCTGCATTTATTTCGCACCTCAAACTCATGTGCAAAATACATTATAGTGACATTACATATTTTTAACTTCCCGTAGGGTAAGTTATTGTAATGTGCCGAAAATCGAAATTGAAATTTTTTACATTTCTCGACGTTTCGAAGGTTTCTGAACATTTTGGCATACCTCAGAAAAAATGGATGTGTGTGTGTATGTATGTATGGATACAAATTTCCAGTCACGTTTTCGGGCACACGAATCAACCGATTTGAATCGTTCAAAAAATATTCGATTTCTATTGATAGGGAGATGAGCTGATTAGTTTTTGGCGAAGGCAGGTCCAGCAGTTACGAAGATAAAGAGCAAAGAGTGCAGAAAATAGAAATCGAGTTTTTGAGAAAACGGAGCATCCGATTTGAATTATCTAAAAAACATTCAGTTAATAATGATTGGGAGAAGTGTTAATTAGTTTTTGGTAAAGGCAGGCCAAGCCATTTCGAAGATACGGAGCTAAATGTATAAAAATGGCAGTTTTTTGAGAGAACTAAGCGTCCGATTTAAATGATTCAAAGAACTACCTGCTTATCTTAACAAAATAATTGATTTTGAAAAAAAAATTATATCATTTTTTTGTATATAGAAAATAATTCAGATTTCAATTTCTATTCTAGCTAGAGTTTTAAAGCTCACTTATATACTTTAAATGAATTGACTATGTGATTCAGTTCATATAATTCTTATAAATATTAGACAATGTTACAGTATTTATAATAATCTATTTGAAAACATTTAATATTCCTCGAACATTTTGTTACGGCGCCATAGCCTGGCACGCGTGCCATGGGTTGCCGATGCCTGGTCTGCAGCATGCCTTGAAATAAGTCCAAGAAATCATCCCCCTCAGATGTATAAATTAATGTAACCCGCCCCTTACGGGCAGGGCTAATATTGTTAATTTTAATTTTTAATAATTTTTATTTAGTATAGAACTCATCCCGATTACTTTTATCTTAATTACGCGCTTGCCAATTTTTTAAAATTGAAAAATACGTTATTCAGTAAAAAATTTGAGTTAAAATTTTGTGCTTTTTAAATAAAATTGTTATACCATTTCATTGGTATTTAAAATAGTTTTTTAATAATAATTTATTTTAGATTTTATCAAATATATTTTAATTAGTTTTAAATTTAGTAAATAACGTAGTTTAATAATTTCATATATTTTATATTATCGATTAGTTTTACAATAAGTTTAAATTTTAAGAAATATTGTTTTTTTTCTCAAATTCTTTTTTAAAAAAATGGCATCTCGTAGAAATACTAGTGTATTGTGGTACCATTTTGAAAAAATTGATAGTATGAAAGCAAAGTGTAATGTGTGCAACCAGCAGATAAAGTATAGTTCAACAACCGCCAATTTAAAGAGTCGTTTAAAAAGAAAGCATATTTCCATATATGCTTCGTTGCAAGAAACTGAGGCAGGAAGTTCACAGCAGACTCGTATTTCATAGTATATGAGTAATTCCGGAGAGGCTATACAAAGTTTTAGTAGTGCTCAACAACAACCTACAAGTGTGAGTCAGAGGGTATTGGAGACTTTTATGACTAAAAAAATTAGCAGCGAACAAAAAAAAAAAGATTGACCAAGATTTGATGGGTATGTTCATTGATAGTTTCCATGCATTTTCATTAGTTGAAGAAAGAGCGTTTAAAAAGTTGATGCGGTGGATACCAGGATATGTTCTTCCATCTAGAAAGACTGTTTCAGGATCCATGCTCGAGGAGCAATACAACAAGGCAGTTGAAAATACAAGAGCAGAAGTTTTAGCTGAAGCACAAACTATTTGCATAACATTATATGTTTGGACTTCTAGGGTTACTGAAGCATATGTGGCAGTTACAGGCCATTATATTACAGACAATTATAACTTAAAAACTGTTTTTCTCGGATGCTGTCAATTTGAAGGAGCGCATACATCAGAAAATCTAGCAATAGAAATTCAAACAATCCTTGACAATTGGTGATAATTAGTGATAATGCCAATAACATGAAAAATGCCATTAAAGACATTTTAAAAATAAAACATTATGGATGTTTTGCACACACTATTAATTTAATAGTAAATGATGGCCTCAAATTGATTAAGAGTGAGATCGATATAATAAAGAAAATTGTTGGCCACTTCCGGAGGAGTGTCACTGCATGTGAAAAACTGCAGAAATACCAAATGCAGCAATATGGACACACAAAAAAATTGATTCAAAATGTCGAAACAAGGTGGAACTCCACCTTTTACATGGCGAAACGATTTGTCGAGGTTGAAGAGTCAATAAGGATGACAATGAGTGTTTTAGATGCAAATCTACCATCATTGACTTCTGAAATGTAGGAAATGTTGCCACAACTATGCTTAATTTTAAAACCATTCGAAGATATTACCACCACTGTAAGTGGTGAAAATTACCTGACAGGAAGCCTGGTAATAGTGTTAGTAAGATGTTTGAATGAGTCATGCAACAAATTATTGGCACGAAATGACCTGTTGCCAGTAATTAGAAGAATCTCTGAAATTTTTAAATCAGGAATTAATGACAGATTTCCAAATGTCGAGAGGAGCAAGACATTTGGAATCTGTACATTATTAGATCCTAGGTTCAAAACGAAGGGTTGCTCAAACATAGAAGATGCAAAAATTATTAAAGAAGATCTTAAGCAAAAAGTAGCAAAAATCATTGAAGAACGAAGACTTTTAGAGAATGTTGTTCCCATGCCATCAACGTCCATGGAAAATATTGATGAGTATAACCCATGGACTATTTTAAATAACCTAGTAGGAGCATCACTGCATCAATCGACTCCACTATGTGCTGCTATAAAGGAAATTGATATATATCTCGCTGATGATAGCTTGCCTATGAAATCTGCAGAAGGTATATTAAATTGCCCAATGCAATGGTGGAGAAATCACCAGCATGTTTATCCAAATTCGGCGAGATTGTTTAAAAATCAGTGCAATGTTGTAGCTACCTCCGTTCCTTGTGAAAGGATCTTTTCAAAAGCAGGCATGGTTATTACGGATAGAAGATCGAGACTACAAAATACAAAAGTCGAAAAATTAATGTATTTAAATGTAAATTTAGATCAAAATCGATTTGATAAAATTTAAAATTGTTAAAATTTTAGTTTTGTTATGTAACAAATTATATAATCTATTTGAAATTTATAATTATAGTTAAAATGTATAATATATGTAAATATTTGAATAAAATGTACTTATAAAAATGATTTGTTTAATTTATAAGATTTCATAAAAACTTCTATTTAAGTTAATCTTCATTTGATTTTTCAGGCTATATAGAATATCATGTCATATAAAAATCTTCTTAGTTAACAAGGTCATAAATAGATAGATGAATACTAACTTTCAAATGTTTTGTTACTAATATTTTTCGTTATATCCATAACATTTTTAATTTGAAATTACTTGAAGTCATTTTTTAAACCTAACCTGAAAATATAAATTATTGAGTTATATAAATTATTTGTTTATTATGTGAAACATTGCTATTTTAATTATAAATTCGTTGTTTCAGTATACTATATCCTTTTGCTTTAAAATTAAAAATAAACAATATGATGGGATACACAGTTCAACTTTTAAACCTTGTTATTGATCAAATGATTTGACATTTAACTGGGACGAACATAGATAAGGAACAAACTTCATTAACTTTCAACGAAACAGTATTTTCAACTCATAGTTATTAACGTTGCCAGCGTTGAATCGTTAAAATCAACTATAGTTGAAAATTAACTAGTTTTTCAACTAGTTGACGAGAACCCGTTAACCGTTTCGTTTCGTTGACGGAAAAAACGTCAACGACCCATCACTACTTCCTGAAGAAAATTAACAGTAGTGGGATGGATGGATGGATGGATGGATGGATGGATAGTTGAAGTAGTTGATTAGCGAAATTCGAAGACCATATTTTAATATATTTGTCCAAAACATAATGTTATTTGCCACTGTAAATTGGTAATCAATTCAACAGTCCAGTTTATTATAGTAAGATTACCTCGGAATTTGAGATACACAGCTGTAAGTTTGTAAATACTTGTATATTGGCACCCTAAAGTTGTCTCAAAATTTACATATGGGAGGGTGTCAATACCATATGTAGGTTTTAAGACAACTTTAGGGTGTCAATATTTCAGTATTTACATACATACAGCCGAGTATCCCGAATTCCGGAATTCTTATTTAATTTAACCTTAAATGACTGGAATACAAATAGGAAACAAAGGTCCAATTTGACTTCGAGAAATTATATTGTGAAAACTAAACCAATTATATAACAACAAATAACACATCAAACAATCAACTGTCTGATTACGTTCAGTAAAACTCCCAGCTAATATATCATTGTAGACATGTGCTTTTTGCTGTTTTTCAAAAATTTGTCACCTGGTACTTTTTACCCTATAGGTGTGGTAAAATGGGACAGCCAGGGGGCAAACAGATTCAATGTCTTATTTTTATTTTAAAGGGATTCTATGAAATGATAGCTGCATTATTCGACCAATGCAAAATATATAATTCATGGATATATTTTCTACATAGATAACACTGACTAACACTAACATTTCGTATAAATTTTCATTACCAGAGTTGAAATAACTATTTATTTAATTTGTGGCGATATCAAGCAGGCTTGTTTTAATTTGTAAAAAAACAATTGGACATCATCTAATTTTAATTTTAACAAACGTCAACAAAACTACTCATCTACTCAAACTTTGATGAATTTTTAAAATTAAACTACTTGTCGTAAGGCCGTAATATATTTCAGTAAGTTCTATAAGACCATGATATACATCGCCAAAAAAAGTTTCATGAACACTAATTTTTGCAAACTTTGACGAATTTTTAAAGCTAAACGTTGTCGTAGGGCCGTAATATGTTAGTATGGTCTAGAAGACTATGATTTCTACCGTAAAAAAAATCATAAAAATCGTCGAAATTTTTCTTTAAAAAACTTTATTACAAGAAAACGGCCCGGCCGATCTTTACCAAAAACTAATCAGCACAATTCCCAACCAATATCTTTCGAACGGTTTTTAAATTTTCAGAATAGCGGGCTAAAACGTGGACAAATTTTTTTTCACTTTTATGCTATTTATAAAGAAACGGCTTGGACGATCGTCGCACAAAACTCAGAAACTCTAGTCCTCATCGAGATACATCGAAATCGAATGGCTTTTAAACTTTTGAAATCGATCGAACCATTTTTGAAAAAATGCCGATTTACTGCAAAAAATCTGTTCACATACACGCACGCGCACACACACACCCACACACACAAACTTTTTCCAAATTTGAGCTCATTCATATTCAGAATGGCTTGAAACGTCGAGAAAACATAAAACTAGCGAGTCGGATTTTTTGATGAAAATATAAACTTCGATACATAAACTAACATGAAAACATAAACTTTGATGAAAACATAAACTAACTCCTTCGGGAAGTTAAAAATAATCTGCGTCTTTGACGTGAGTCAAAATTTGACCTTTTCTCGACGTTTACTCGTCTGAACCGATGTTAAAATTTTAAAACTATAAAATGAAACTGGATAAGCGCTTGCGTTGATTAGTTTTTTGAGACAATTGGTCGATCCGTTTCTGTACTATTGACAGAAAAGTGCAAAAATTATCGTCCATGTTTTTGTCAAAAATTTTTAACCGTTTTTGCTTAAACTATTCGATTGATATCATTTGGAAATAAAAAAAATGGTTTCAGGCAAAGATCGGTCAAGTCGTTTCTTTTTCATAATATATTGTCAATTTGTGGCGATTTAAGTGAAACTTTGCATGACGATAGAGTTTCTGCTCTAAATGAACGTACTAAACTATATTAAGGCCTGCGACAAGTGGTTTACTTATGATAATTAAAGTTTGGATTATTGGCCGCGCTTTTAAAAAATTCACCGTGTGTATGTATTTGGCTTCGTATTTCGTATGTGTTCGTTTTCCATCAATATGTAATATTCAAACCATTTTTCAAAAATAATAATTACTATATTTGAAAAACAAAACAATTTGCAACTGTTTCTCTCTTCAAAATGGTTTACAGCGATTAGGTATACTTTTCTAAATCAGTCATTATTAACTTCCCATAGGGTAGTTATAGTAATAGACCGAAAATCTAACGTTTTGAAGGATTCTGAATACTTTGGCATATCTCAGATAAAATGGATGTGTGTGTGTGTTTTGTATGTCCGCATTTTTTCGTCCACGTTTTCGGGCGCATGAATTAACAGATTTGAATGTTTCAAAAAACATTCGATTCTTATTGATAGGGAGATGTGCTGATTAGTTTTTGGCAAATACAGGTCCAGCAGTTATGGAGATACGGAGTAAAGAGTGCAGAAAATACAAATCGTGTTTTTGAGAGAACGGAGTATCCGATTTGAATGAATGAACGAATTTGAAATTTCGGATGAATGAATTTTTTTGCCTAAACTGTATTAAAAGATATATTCGCAATACGATTAGAAAATCCTTAAATTTTAGGGTTTTTGACTCCGCCATTCGTGTACAATCAGTTAAATATTCAAGTTATAAAATGTGTTTGGTAACAAAATACATCAATGAAATCATTTTGAAGTAATTTTGTTGTTGAATTAGTGTTTTATCTAAGTCCTAAAACAGGCTCAGGGGGGGGTCATGACCCCCGTGACCCCCCCCCCTGGATCCGCCTCTGCGTTTAATCAACTTACAGTTTTTTTCAACCGTTTCTCCTTTGTTAACGAATCAACCGTTTCGACGCAACGAAACAACTAGTTGAAAAATCAACTGGTTTGTCAATGAGTTAAAAACATGGCGCCCAGTTACTTTTCAACGAAATGCATATTCGAACGTTGTCGAATATTACAATTGAAAAGCAATAGAGTACTCTAGGGGTTCTTTCTTAAACTTATAATTATTAGGTTCGAATGTATGATATCAACAACCAACTCTTTATCTA